AAAGATATCTTAAAATTGTCTTGTATGATATCGATTTTATCATTTATTCGGCAATCTTTAGAAATTAATATCCCGTTATCTATTGCCAAAATTGCAAAATGAAGACTTTTCGACTCAGTTCTTTTTTTATTAAGAATAGCACTGTATAATTAGTGGGTATTATTTCAGATACACCCTGTATATCACGTTTGTAGTCTCTCGAAATTGCGAAATTATCTTAGTCTGCCGAAATTATTTTTCCGACTTAGGAACGCAACTGAACTACCATACATAGTAATATAGACAAATGAAATTGCTTAGAAATTTTCTAATTCGAATTGGCATTTATAATTCGAATTCGTTTTCAGATTTTAATGCATTGAAAATTAATAATATAAATTGTCCGTCTGATTTTCTTTGAGCCGAGTAAGTTTGTATTTATTAATACAATCCTGATGCACAAACACAGAGGAAACACGCGATTTTCGAATTTCCGATCGCGACAAGGTAAAGGAGTAAAGTGCCAAATGTCCGCGGCACGTGGTACAGGGCAGGCGACGCCGTGACAAGTGTAAATCACAATTCCAAGGAGAGAGTTCGACTTGCCTTGCTTGCCAGTAGCGAGCTGCGAAATTGACGATGCGGGGCGTAGGGTGGATGGAACGAAGGAGGGTAGGAGGGTAAGAGGGTAGGAGGATAGGTAGGAAGGAAGGAAGGAAGGAAGGAAGAAAAAAGAGAATGCGCGGCACACGTGTGGCCCATTCGTTCCGAATCCTCCCGCCGCCACCTGGTGTGGGCATCGCACGATGCTGGTGGCTGGACGAGGCCGAAGAAGAGAAGAGAGAAAAAAAAAAAGTAAAAGAGCAGAGGGTAGTCACGCTCCAGGGGCATTTTTCAGAAGCTGCTTGTCGGCTACCATATCCTGCCCAGCCCATTCCCTCACCCATTTCCTTCTCTCACGTCCACGAAAAAGTCGATAGTTGCGTAGACAGCGTTCTCGGGAGGTGGCGAAAAGCGGGTGCCAAAACGAAGGGCGACAGAACAGACGAAAAGGGGGATCGCGCGGCTCTCGCGGGCCGTTGTCAGAAGTTACCATCGATTTTTCAAGTTCCTCGTGGGTACATAGGCGACTGACACAATCGGATTTTCTTCGTTCGCCAAGCGTCACCCGGGATATTTGTCAAGAGTCCGTGAGTCTGACCATATTCCAGATGCTTACTACTTGCCCGGATAAGAAAAACCACCTACTAACCCAGAAATCGCTTTCTCCTACTCCTAAAACTCTATTCACAATGTACACGAGATTGTGATTGCCTTGAAAATTAATCAATTACGGAATGGTCGAGAACTGAAATAGGTTCATTCCTTCACGAAAATGAAATAATTCCTTTTTAATCTGCCTTTCTGTAGGTGTACACGGAGAGAGAACGGTTTTACTGAAATATCTGCAAATTTAGTCAGATACAGTTATAAAAATAATTTTATCGGACCATCAAATATTGGCGCAGGACTGTTCAAACTGTTGCTAGAATGTCAAAAACTTTTTGCACAGCATGCTTGAGCGTCCTGTACAATTATTTTAATAGTCTAACAAAAATATTTTCAGATATATGTCCAGTTAAACTTTTAAATATTTCAACGAAGCTGTTTTTCCTTGTACAGTTATATTTATTTTGTATAGATATATAATCCCTTTGTAAATAAAATATATGTTTAACAACAAATATAGAGCAATGATATATTGCTTATCTTGAATTTTAGATTTTCCCTCTTTGCGTTAAATCTGTACCATATATGGTAGTATCGGTTGATTTTCATCAATTTGTTCTACACTGTATAGTGAGGTGAAATCCTCGTGAATCAAGTGCGAAAACCACGTCCATAAACGCGAAATCATTGTCGGCCGCGTGTCCGAAATTTCCGAAGTTCGAACGTTACAGAGATACGTGTCAGAGCTATTGGGTTATTTCGCGGTAAAGCATGGCGACGCGAGACACTTGCCAAACGAGGCTATCGGCGTGGTAACGTAACCGACACTTGCATAAACAACCTACCCTGCTGCGGTACGATCGATTTCTCAAAGGCTTATCGACACGTAGAATAAATGGGGTTTTCGTGTAATTCCGTCTACAACCAAAGTCATTCTCAAATTGTATTACCACTTCTATTTCTAAAATTGCAAAATATATTGGCATAACACGTCAATCACTCTGCGAAAGACTGCCAAGCCTCTTATAAAATATATAATCACTAGCCATTTGCGCATCTCTCGACCGCATTTGCATCGCGGTGAACTACTTTTGTAGCGTAAAATATTAAACAAACTCAAATTTGAATAAATCCTGAGGAGCTAAATACATTATGAAAGTCATTTATTTTCAAATAAGAGAGATCTTAATGCTTGACAATGTTTATGTGTAAATTTGCAAATACGTTTGTCAATTCTATAAATAAAAAGCAGGAGTCTTCCCCTTATTTAATTTATTATTGTCAGTCTAAAAGACGTTTATAATTAGTTTTTTTTTTAAATTGCATTAGTAATCATGTTGTGGATAAAAAAAAGGATGATATTAACAAATTGTACATTTTTCAATGAGATCTAATCTTAAACACCATTACATCATGCTACGTTCATATTTCTGCTCATATTCTTCTTTAGTAAATCTATTTTCATTTAATTTGCGAGACTGTTTCTGCTTAAGACGTCTTCTGCTTCTTTACTATAATCGGCTTTAACGATCAACAAGCTCATTGGGCATTGCCCGTTACAGAATACGTGTCAATCGATCTATGCCAGTCGGCACAAAATGCCAATCAGCAAACATACGGCTTTACTGACTATAGTCGATGAGTGACAAAAGAAGCCAAGTCGAGTCACGTATCAAAAGCACAAACATCGATCAATCATTCAATTCTTCAATTTCAATCTTTGTGCGTAGATAGAGACATTTCTGAATTTATATTCAAAAATATTTTGAATTGCACTTGAAATTTAATATTCGTCGTTATTAAGTACCTTATTAAATCTGTTAAACCCCGCTGCCAACTAACTTTGACTTTACGTCACAATGCTATAGCTTTACTATATAGTAAATTTAATTATGTAGACACGCGGCTTTACAGCAAGCAGGAAGCACACAAGTTACGCTTTCAGACGTCTGTGCTGTGCCAGCAATAGTCTGTATGCTGTAAGGTTTCTTCTACTTTAAAAATTCTCCGCACGGTTCAGTGACCACGTAGTGTACGGTAGATATAGAAGCTACTCTATACCCGATTCTCCAACGTCAACACTAGGGTTGCCATTTCACGAGGTTTAAAAATCCGGAGATCGTAGCACGGAGATGAAGTGAGAGTAGGAGCAGGGGAAGCACGTTTCCGCTGAATTTTCAAGTCAAACATAAAAAAAAATTGTCAATATTTTTTTACCACATATCTAAGACAAACGCGCGGTATCACAATATTTAACGTAAGGATAAAAATTTGTCGCAGTTTCGCATATTAAGTCAGCAATTATTCCTTTATATTATACGTTAATACATGATCTGCGGCTTGTGAAATATTTTGCAAAAAAGAATTAGCTTTACGATCGGTCCTGAACTTCGCGATTATAATCCATTCATCAATGTTACATCGGGCAAACATGATGTATTCCCTCGCGTTAGTTCCCACAAGCATCAAATGCGGCTCCATATATCATAAGTTTAAAATATCGAATACCATTTAGCTGTTATCCAAAGATGTTTGATGATATCAAATGAATACGTTTTATTCTTGTAAAAATTGTTTCGTGTCGTATAAAAACAGGATCGTCACAAATTCTTTGTCATAGAATTCAATAACTTTTCCCCATTTCCAGATAATTTTGTTTTTTATGTCTTCAATAATATTTCGAACTTTTGTTGTATATTTGTCCTAATTTGGAAATCGTCAAATATTTTTTGTTGCTGGAGAAATTTAACATAACAATGTAAATTATCATTAATGTTGCTGACACTGATTGCATTTATCACATTAAGTTAGTAGTATTTTAAAACTACGTAGGTGTGATTATAACGCATATTAATATAAATTTCTTTAAAGTAAAAAATTTTCATTTTCCAGAAAATTCCCTAACTTTCCCTAATCTACCCTAATTGTTTTCAATTTCCCTGACATTTCTCTGATTTCTCTGACTTCCAGTTTTGTGGTAATTCTGTAAAAACGACAATCAATTCAGAATCTAAAAAAAAAAATTAATAAAAAAAAAAGAAAGTAGTATAAATATCTAACCATTTTTCTATAAAATATCATGCTGTTTGATGCTATCAAATGCAACAATTTGCATTCATTTTTTTATTGCGTGCGGTTAATTTTCATCCGCGTGTATGATGGTCATCCTGCGTCAGCATTTGCGAATTGCGAATCATGCAGAGGCACTTTGAAAAACAACTATCAAATCAATTCAGATTCTAAAGAAATCATAGGAAAAAAAGAAAGTGGTGATATAACCGAGCGATATTGTAGAATTAAAGTTCCCGCATAAGATGCCGCATTTCTTCAGAACTCCAACTGTTTTTAACAGTTCCCTTGTTATCTTCAATTCGATTTTACACGCTAGGGAAGAGGATATAGACAGAGAAATCCGAGTTTAACGATACGGTAACGATTTACTGTTTATAACGAGGTCCTTTCGAGGGCTGTTCTCACGAATCGGAATGCAATACTTCCCGAACCGTAAGCGGCCACTGCGGTTCGATAGGTGCGGGATCGATGACCGAATAAACAGGGCGAGCGCGCGCGGCGCGGCGCGAATCGATCCGTCTCATCCCCATATCGATATCGGATGCCGCGTAGCGCATTCGTTAGATTGCACCCCGGAGCTGCAAGTCCGGCCTGACGTAACGAGGCGTGCGAACAGCATGGCGCGCGGCGCGGCACGGCGTGCCGTGCCGTGCCGTGCAGTGCCGTTCCATGCCGTGCTGTGCGGTATCGTGCCGTGCCGTACCGTGCCGAGCGGAACGGAACGAGCCGAAAGCCAGAGCGCATGTCGATGTCTCGAGCGGCAGCAGCCAATGGACTGGCTAAAATATTAAACGGGAGCAAAGACCCTGTTCTCGTACGCCACGTAGCCACGTTCAATTCCTGAGCCAGTCTCTCCAACCCCTGCCGTAACGGGGGATCGAAAGTGGAAACAGACGGTTGTAGCCAGACTCGTTGCGCCGCGACAGTTCGGACCGGCACTACTGGCGACATCCGTAAGCTTAGGCGAGAAAAGAAGAGGGATGATGCGCGATCGGTCGGCATCGGGGGTGAGTCAACTTTAATCAGGAAATAGAAATAGAAGTTTGTACATAAACCAAATGTAGGTTGAATAGGATAAGACATTATTTTAAATTTAAAAGATATTGTATTGGCTCAATTTAGAAAGATAAAAGTAGTTCACATTATATCCTTAGTTTTTCTCTGTTTTTGTAAGGTTTACAAAAAATTGTTAATAATATAATACATATTTCCATGGGACTTTTCGTGTTTAAACGTCAAGTTAATGTGTGTGTGTGTGTATTCTCAATTAAATAATTGAATAATTTATTTAAATAATTCCCCAAAATGGAAGGAAACGCGAATTATTTATATTTGTACATATAATCCGATATAGCATTCTTATCTCCGATTTCTTTCCGTTTTTCCGCAATGTGAACTTATTGTGGCTAAAGTTGTAGGAAGTACATACATTAATGATACATTTTGCACCGGCACAGTTTTGCGCAACGACCACGTGTAGCACAAACACACACACACACATTAACTTGACGCGCGCGCGCGTGATCATCTTGATATAATAGACGTTAAAGTTCGGTAGATTGTAATCATGCTAAATTGTCTTTTCTTATTTCCAAGTTGGAGTAATAGTGTTAAACTTCAATGGTTATTGTCTCGAAACAATAGTGTTGTGCTCACAATAGCTCTTATTATTACGTAACGTATATATTACCTATATATTCAGCAACTTCTCGATCTCAAGGATTATTCGATTAATTTTATATTAAATGAATCGTCGTTTTTAATATAATAACTATAATACATTTTTTATTTTGTGGAACCAAGGTTTGATTTCTCTATTACCATCACTGAAATGGGAAATTCGGGAAAATTCATTTGATTAAATAAAATTTTCAGCAAGATTGTGAATTTGGTATTTCTGAAAGTTCAAGTTAATCGACCTTTAATTGACAATTTCTCAACTGACAGATCGTAATGTATTATCGATTCGACTTTTGCATATTAAGAATGAATAATCGAATAGATATAATAGAATGAATAATCAAACGAATATATGTATATCTATAAATATATTATTACACGTGTAACGAAAAGTATTGAAAAAAATGGTACCACATGGTCCTGTATGATCGCCTTTAACTATCGTGAATACGATAGTTCTAAAATAACACGGTCTAAAATGGTTGAATATCGAAGCATGGAAAAGAGGAAGAGTGTAACGTAAGCGACGTTATGGCGTTTACTTTTTACAAAACGCAACAGCACTCGTCGTTCACATGTGGTCGACCGCAAAAAAGATGGTCACATTTTTTTTCACCGAGTTTCGGCACGTACTAGAATTTCAGCATCCCGTGTCGCCGCCTATTTCAGCGCAAAAATTTTGTCAGAAAAATTGTGCGTTTCCACGTGATACAGTCTATTTAATAGGTCACGATTTATACTGCTTTGCATGTGATAATACGAAAATTACGCGTGTTTGAACAAGGACGCAGAACAACGATACTTCGATGACAAAACCATTGTTTGCAACTGTTTTTCTGCTACGTGAAAATGTTTTCGAAATATTATCAAATGAGATAAAGTTATAATTCATTCATTAAGTTTTATATTAATTCATCTAACTCATACCGTGTTATTATAACAGATATATATAACTTGTGCTCTACATCCACAAATACAGCGAACGGATCTAATACAATTTTAGATCTAATATAATATTGAGACGTTTATCAAACCGGATGGGGTCATAAATGTTTATAATTAAATATCATTAACGAGAATATGTGAAAATGTATGTTATTGGTCTACTGTATTCCACAAAATTTATATTACATGTTTAAAGTGAGACAACATTACGTTTATAGCAATTATACATCGCTAATGAAAACATCATAAATATTATAAAATGGAGAATAAAATTTCATTGGATTTTACATATAAATATCTCTTCTTTTTCGCTTGTTATTTTGATGCTTCTATATTAATAGAGCGATGATATACCTTTGGTGATCTACTACGACGCCATTCGGATTGTTCCTAGAGAGATTATTATTAATAGAGTTATATATATAATGTTTGTAATAATACATACATTATCAGCATAATAATCGGATATAGTTACTATCAACAAATTTTAATGACAATATTCAATTAATGCAATATACATTATTATTACATGTCAATAATTTTATCAACAATAAATATTTTATTAGGGGTAAATGAATTAATTTACACAATATAATGATGCATGTATCGCGGAAAAGATTCGTCACATATTGATTAAAAGAAATTAAGCTAAAGCGGAAAATTCCTGACTTGCACAATTTCATTATTTCATCAATTATCACCGATATTATCGTATAGAATCGTATAGATCATTTGGCGATAAGAATCGTAATTTGCGATATCGTCTTATTAATAATACTTCCAATGACTTACTAATCTGGAAGTTTACGTTAAATATCAATTAAACGTTGAATATCAATTTTATCGTCGGCAAGAAATAAAAGTATGACACGCTTAATTAAAGCATCGAAATATCCGCGTTCAGAAAGAGTTAATAAAATGAGTAAAAATATATCTCGTCGCGAAAGATAAATATGTGGCTCGGATAGCCACAGAAAGGTCCAAGATAGGGGTCGAATCTAATTTTATGTCCGCCAATCGAGCGCGACTACCTGCCGGATATACCGAGACTGATCTAATGCCCGACGCAACGACCGAAAGTTGCAGAGACCATGATACGTTTATACGACCTTTGGTAATTCAGAGTTTATAGGTCGTCCTCGCGTGTAGCGAAAGAGATACTCCTTTCTATCGTAACAATATCCCACGCGTATACGCGGAAAATCGCATAAATGCGTTTTATTAAATCTCTCATTCATCGACGACGGCAAAATTTTAATTAAAAGCAAGTTCGTGATTGGCACACGGGTTATTCGTATATAATATAACCCTTTGTAAGAGTTTCTGCGAGTTTCATCGTATTCATCTCTGGGATCTGCGGGTTATTGAATTATTTAAGGTTGATGATCGCGCGTAAATTCTGAATAGGGATGCGAGTGAGCTGTGGATCGATTATTTTTATCAATAGCGTTGAATTGAAAGGTGACAAAGGATACACGCCTGGATAACGCTCAAGTTTGGAACGAGAATGTTTTTTTATTTACTCTAGTTAACGACCCGACCGCACAATGTATCTCATTTATCGTGACAAATAATTTACCTCGGGCTTCAATAACTTCTCGATACACGACATTTTGCTGTTCATTATTTCCAATTCCAATTGTTCTTTGCGTAACTGTTACGACAAAATCCGGATAGCCGGACATTAAAATATAATTAGTAAGAGTAGCGAACGAGTAGATTATCGAAACCTACCATTTTCTTCGTTTTCTCTTGAAACACGTTCATTCGTTGTAACTAGAGATTGAAATTATTAGCACAGCGTGGACGAAAACGTTAATCGTATCCTTTAAACATTTTTTAATAAACTTACATGCTTGTGAATACATTTGTACGGAGGTATGATGCTAACGACACTTTCCATTCGTGGTAACTTCTACAAATTATTGGCAATTGATGCTTTTAAAGTGTGGAGGTTCAATATCGCTCTAGCCTCGATCAAATGTCAGTTTAGCTGTGATTGCCAAAACTGCCTAACTTACCTTCTCCGCCTTTTCGAACAATTCACGAAAAAGTGTATTGTTCAACGTCATCATATTTAAACCCTGGCATGAAAACAGAGTTCAATATTTAAGACAATTAATATATTAAATTAATCTTTCTATGTTTTTTGTATTTATTTCTGATTCTATATTAATATTCCCTATTATTGTATGCTTATCTTGTTAAAAATAGTAACAAATTGTTCTAAAATTATCGCATGTTTTCTGAATAGAAACTATTTTATTAAGACATAAATATCATGAAATAAAGATAACAGCGGATAAAAGGTCAGTAAAAACTTTTATGTGTTTGCAAATTTTTCAAGCTCAAAGTTGTAACTTCTGAACGTCGTTACGCCGATAAGGATTAAAGCAAACGTTATTGGGAGATATGTAGCTGAAACCCTCTTCGCCGAGATTGAAGGCATATGATATATTTTATGTGTGTAAGAATTATATTTGTTACAACGTGGCACGTGCGCGGACATATCAGTATTCAAGTGATTGTCCCGCAAAGTTGTTTACATTTTCTTTAAGCCGGCAAGAGAGTTTGGCGCTGGCAAGGCTTTCGAAAGATACGTGACTCGTTTTCTTTCGTTACGACATATATAACGGTGAGCATTATCTATTCAAAACCTGATCACGATGCGAAAGGGAATATATCGATAATTCCGCGACGTCGATCGTTTATTGTTCCTTGATTAATTACACGCACACAAATAATATTATTACGTTGGATTTAAAGCAAACAATTAATTATAGAATCGTGTACTCGTATTGTCATGGCGTTTTAATTATTGTATCGAGTCATACGGTATCATATGCAAATTAATTGCCAGAATAATAAGCTCACTTGAATTTTCTCTATCAAATAATTCGTAGAGATGCTTGCTATCATGAATAAAGTTAATGAACAGGCAAGTTTTTAACGACTAATCTAAACTCTTTTCGTTAATTATCTGATAAATTTTATTAGCTTAATAAAATAAAATAATTGCTACGCGCACGACAAAAAAGTAAAATCATTCCGTTATCTGTCCTCTAATTAAAATTATTCTATAATAAACTCACCGTTATCGAACAGATGGCCATAATTACTACAAAAATGAAAGTAACAAAAGTCACCGCTCCGCAATAAACACTTAAGTTGAAGAATCGTCTTAGATTATAATCAGCGATGAGAAATCGGTATATCTGAAAGTACGGTTCGCGTGAAAAATTAAAGTCCTCGACGAAACCAGATCTAACCTAATCGATCCGCATTTCTGACCAGCGAATTCAAACCGTATCCGGATGTTCGATAGTACTTGTACAATCTAGTGTCGTCCATGATGGGGAGGGCGATAACTACCGAATAATTT